CCCTCGGCTGGGCCGCGCTGGGGTGAGAGGGACCGGACCACTGGCACCCAGCTTTTCACTTTGCGTCCTTTCATATGCCGCTCGCTTTCCCTCCTGCTTCCCTCTCACCTCCCCTCTCTCGCCCCATTTGCTATTGTCTTTCGCTCCTCCTCCCCCTCCCCCTCTCCCTGGACAGACGGACGGGCGGTAGCGGTGGACCGGACGAGTAGGGGGCGCCCGTGCGACCCCTCTCACCCCCCCCCCCTCCCGTTTCCTCCAACATCAGACCAAAATGCAGCGCGTGCTGCGCGACGCGTACGTGATTCTGTGGCCCATGTTACATGGACAAGGACTTTAGTGGGAGGAACTCAAGTTTTAAAACCATGTCGCCACGCCACACCTGAGCCCTGAGTAAGCGTATCTTGCCCAAGAAGAAACTGGAAACAAAATGTGTTTGGCTTAATTAATTAGTATACATAACTCCGAAATAATGAAAGGTAGAGGTTTTGAAATGACTATCATTGTCACATTTATTCGTGTGTGTTCCAATTTACGACGCCTTTTGTTTCCTCCATAATAGTCATTGTCAAAGAGGCATCAGGGCAGGGGCCTTCGTTTGTCCAGCGACTTTATCGGAAGGGTTGATGATGACTCGCGCGGCTGGCTCGTGCGAGGGATTTCTTCTGGCATATAAATCCCAGTGCCGAGGGCCAAGCGCTGGGGGTGCGGCCGACGGCCTATCTCCACCGCCACAGCCCGCAGCAGCGGCAGCAGCAGCGCCTGAGAGGCGAGGCCGCCTACCCGCCTCGCCTCCGAAATCCGTTACGTCCCACTTGCACTCGATGAATCGAAATCGGACTCCCCTTCCGCCTTCGCTCCGCCGCCATCCGTTCCTTTCAAGGTGCCATAACGACCATTACTGGCGACAAGCGTCTGAGAATGGGCGCGGAGCGAGGGGGTTGGGGGTCGTGAAGATGGGCCGTGTTGTGGTAGGGGGCGGCGGGGGCGGCGGCGGGCCGGGGCCAGCGCTCGGGTCGGGACCCCATATGCGCCGCTCTGCCGCCTCCACATCTTTCAGAGGCGCGCGTTATCCTCGGCAGGGCAGGGCAGGGTGAGGTGCGGCGCTTTCATGGAGTGACAGGGAGGCAGTCCGGGGGGCGCTGGGCGCTGGGCTGGAGGGCAGTAGTATAGAGTTGAGTCTATTATGTGGTGATCGTGTCCCCCTACCTGTTGGAGTGGCCCTGCCGCGCCCGGCCCCGCCCCGACTGGCCCCAGCCGCGCTGCTCCGCCCCGCCCCCCTCCACAGCAAGACCGCCCCATCCACCGCCCCCGCCGCCCCCTGCCCCGCGCGGGCGGAGGGACCGTCGCGACGCTGGATCGCTCGCTCCACTCCAGCAGAGCCGCACAGAGTCGCACACGGGCTGCACACTCCTCAGCGCGCGGCGGCCCAGCACCGAGGACGCCTCCGGTCACCAGGACGCCGACGACGCCCTGAGCCTGGGGCCGGCAGCGGGGCGCTAGCGCGGGCGCCAGTGGATGGAGGCGGCCCGGCCCGCGGCCCAGGCCCCCAAGCCCCAGGGCGACCCCCAGGGCGGCGAGCCCCCCTCGGCGGCGGTGGTGGCGGCGCGGCCCCTGCAGGACCTTGGCGCGCAGGAGATAGATGCCTCAGCACCTCGCAGGTAAGTCCGCTCTGAGGCTCACTGGC